CTAAAATCTAATACAGAACAATATAAAAGCAAGTTAAAACCCGCGAAAATACTAAATCTAGATAATATTAGCTTAAATGAAATCAATGACGTCATAACAAAAGAACTATTAAATGCAAGCTCAGAAGTGGCAACCGCTAATAGGAAACGATTATCTAAAATAAGTGTAGAATCACAAACCATGCTGAAACAAAGAAAAGATCTTTTGAGATAAAACAAAAGAGACACTGCAGAATTTAAGCAACTTATCCGAGTAATAAGAAAACAAATAAAAGAGGACAAAAACATCAAGAAGACAGTAGAGAACAAGTCATAGAGAAAAACCGAAGTCTCAAATGCACCAAAACCGAAACTAGGAAAGAAACACATAATAACCATTAAAAATGAACAAGGATATCTAGAAAAAAGTAAATCTGATATAGCAAACTCAATTGAAAAGTTCTACGCCAATCTGTATCGTTTCAGAAACGATCCCTGTAACTCCTCAAAGCAGGACTTGAAAAGGCAGATAACAAATTTCAACTCAGAAGTGATGCCCGAAATAAGCCACGAATAAATAGAAAGAGCAGTAAAAGAAATAAAAAGGAATAAAGCTCCTGGAAGCGATGGAATCCTAGCAGGAATGCGGAGAAGAAGCCATCACATATCTTAAAATACTATTTAATAAATGTCTATTCGAAGGCAACATACTTGAACAATGGAATACGGCTAAAAGAATACTAAATAAACAAAAAGGGAGACACCACAGACCTGAAAAATTATCGACCAATTTCAATTCTTTCACAACTTTACAAAACCTTTACAGAGATTATTACAAACAGGTTAACAATTAAATTTCACGAATACCAACCAGTAGAACGAGTCGGATTTAGAAAAGGGTACAGCACCTGTGAGACCATCTATATTATGTACTTTGAAAAAGACTAACGAATACTATTTCCCATTACATCTGGCTTTTATAGATTATGAAAAAGCTTTTGATAGAGTAGTACTGTGGGCAATAGAAGAACCATTAGTCAACAACCGGATCGACTCCAGGTACAGAAGATTAATACATAATATTTTCGAACAAGCTGAAATGATAGTGACGTTGGGTAATGGAATCGAAACAAGACCAGTAAAAATCAACCGAGGCGTACGACAAGGAAACACAATATCTCCAAAATTATTTACAGCTGCCCTAGAAGATATCTTTAAGTCAATAGACTGGGAAAATAAGGGAATCCCTATTAACGGAAGATACTTGAACCATCTTAGATACGCAGATGATGTAGTACTAATAGCCGACACGTGGAATGCACGATGATTAAGGAGCTACACACAGCATCCCTAAAAAAAGGACTGAAAATGAATTTCAGAAAAATTAAACTAATTGTTTAAAATTATTTCAAAATATTTTATTCTATGTATAATTCCTAGCCCTAAGATTTAATTGTCTATACGGCAACCCTGTCAGCCCTAGGCAAAGTCGTTACAAATTTATAAGAGTAGTATGTTTCCATATGTTGCCATGAGAGCACCCAATAAAGAACGTGTGAAGAGATTTCGTTTTACAAGTTATTTCTTCACCTATCGATCACTATTTACCACACGATACCGCCATCAATTTAAATCAACAATTTAAAGATAGAAGAAAGATAGGTTCAGTTATCTCATTGAGTTCCCAGATTACGTAACTGATTGTCTTCTGGTATAAAGCATTGTGAAAAATTGTATAACGACGTTGATATTGCATTCATTACATTATTAGGTTACAAATATCCGCTTCGCATGGGTTGAAAAATTTGTTGGGTAAAATTTAACCGGCGCCGTGTCCCATACAAGCGCGTACAAAATTACCAGTAAGGGGCGCCCGTGTCTGAGACGGTAACGTACGCGAAGGGGTTAATTATTTTCGAAATTTTCACGTTGACTTCAATGTAATACTAGCACCCTTCTCTACACCAGCGCTCTGATTATTTGTAACCCATTTTCTAAGTATGAATTGTGCTGATTTTAATATGTCTGAAATATCTTTGCATCGGGCTTGTAATTCTGAAAGGTCATTAGAACCCGTTACTAGGTCATCAACATAGAAATCATTAAGAATTGTCTGTGAAGCTGTCGGTAATGTATTACAGTGATCGATTGCTAATTGATTTATACATTTTATTGCTAAGTATGGCGAACTAGTACAACCGTACGTAACGGTGTTTAATTGGTAAATTGAAAATTCATTTGCTGGGTTGTCCTTCCACAAGATCTGTTGAAGGGGCTTGTGTGCATCATGTATAAGGATCTGCCTATACATTTTACTAACGTCAGCAGACACAACATACTTGTATAGTCGGAACCTAGTTAAAATGTCAAATATGTTATTTTGCACCTTTGGTACAACATATTGTAACTCATTGAGAGACCATCCAGAACTACTTGGACTTGATCCATCGAAGACCACTCTAAGTTGAGTAGCCACACTACTAGGCTTGTATATGCCATGGTGGGGAAAAAAATAAGTTGATTCAGTGACCATGTCACTTTCCACTCTGGTCATGTGACCTAAATCGATATATTCATGTATAAAATTTTTGTATAATTGATAAAATTGAGAATGAGTTTTGAATCGGTTTTCGAGTGATGAATTGTTTTTTTACTATTTCTTTTGAATCTCCCAATAAATCGGTAGAATATTTAAAGGGCAACTTCACTACAAACTGACCGTTTTCATTTCTTTGAGTGTGTTTGGTAAATAGTTCCTCACACTGGACGTCATCTTTTGATAACATCATAGGTTCATTTATCTCATTAAGTTCCCAGAATTTATGTAACTGATTGTCTTCTGGTATAAAGCATTGTGAAAAATTGCATAACGACGTTGATATCGCATTCATTACATTATTAGGTTACAAATATCCGCTTCGCATGGGTTGAAAAATTTGATGGGTAAAATTTAACCGGCGCCATGTACCATGCAAGCGCGTACAAAATCACCAGTAAGGGGCGCCCGTGTCTGAGACGGGAACGTACGCGAAGAGGTTAATTATTTTCGAAATTTTCACGTTGACTTCAATGTAATACTAGCACCCTTCTCTACACCAGCGCTGCCCTAGCGACAAACCAAGCAAACAAGTAAAATAGTGTAAACAAATTTCAAGGTCGCCCAATCTCGATCCTTCTCCTGTTTTATAATTCTCCATAGTATATGCTCATATTCATATACATATAATACAAGATAGACTGACTGCTGCAATACAGTCGCAGTGCGACAGAGAACACTGACGCAAAGAAGTTCCTGAATCTCTATCTAATTTACCAGGTTTATCGACCATGTGACGTAAATGACCAATGAAAAGGTCACTTTTTCTTCTTCTTTATGTGCCGACTTCTACCGAAGGTTGGCGACCATCATTCTCTGTTTTGTGCCGCATGTATTATGTTTGCAGCTTCTGGTATTTGAAACCATTTTTTCAAGTTTCTCAGCCAGGATTTCTTCTTTCTGCTCAAACCTCTTCTACCTTCAATCTTGCCTTCCACGATGAGCTGTAGCAGACTGTACAGTATGCGCCGATACAGCCACATTTCTAGAGCCGCTAACTTCTTTATAGTTGCTGCTGTTGTCTACCCTTCTACTCCGTAAAGTAGCGTAGAGAGTACGTAGCATTTCGTGGCGCGCCATCGGAGGTTAAGGCTTAGGTCGCGGTTGCTTAAGAGCTTTCTCATTTTGATGAATTTGGATCTTGTTATTTCAATTCGGATCTTAATCTCTACGTCTGGGTCCCACTTATCATTCTCTTTCAATACGTTCGGCTTCAATAATCAAGTCGACATGTTGAATGTTCTTTTTACTGATCACCATAAATTTAGTTTTCTTTCTATTGATCTTCAGTCCAAATCGGTTGCCAGTTGTATTTACTCTATTTAGCATCATCTGTAAATCTTCGATGTTATCGGCCAGTATAACAGTATCATCTGCATATCGAAAATTACTTATTGGTACTCCATTAATCTTGATGCACTCGTTGTACTCTTCCAGTGCCTCTAGAAATATTTGTTCCGTGTACAGATTGAAAAGCAGTGGCGAAAGAATACAGCCCTGTCTAATCCCTCTCGAAATGGTTACGTTTTCACTCACCATATGTCCATTCTTCTTGTGGGCTGTTTGATTCCAATATAGATTTTTTATAATCTGGATGTCCTTAGTGCCAAGTCCTGTAAGATGTAATAGTTCTTTGAGTTTGTCATGTTTGATAGTATCGAATGCTTCCTCATAGTCGATAAAACAGGCGTAAACATTTTTCTGTTGATCCAGGCAGTTTTGAATCAAGAGTTGTATTGCAAAGAGGGTCTCTCGAGTTTCAAAACCGCATCTAAAACAGAACTGCGTTTTACTTATGCTGTGTTCTAATTTTGCTAGTATTCTGGAATGGATAATACGAAAGAATACTTGAAGGGTGTGACTCATTAAACTTATAAGGCGATATTCACTACAGGTCTTACAATTGGATTTCTTGGGAAGATGCGCAAATGTAGATTTCAACCAGTCTGATGGAATTTGACCAGTACCGTATATCTTATTAAACAGTTCCGATACTACATTCAGGTTGTTCTCGTTAAAAACTTTTAAAAATTCGACTGGTATTTCATTGCATCCTGTTGCTTTCCCATCTTTCGTTTGGTCTATAGCTTTTATCACCTCACTTTTCAATATTTTTGGTCCATTCAGATCAAGAGTGTTCGTAGAAATATGAGAAGATCACGTGTTCGATAAACCCGGTCCATTAGACAGAGGTGTAGGGATTGCTTTGCGTCAATTTTTTCTGTCGCACTGGGGGAACGCGACTGCAGCAGTCAGTTATCTTGTATTATATGTATATGCTCATATTGAACCTAACCTAACCTAATAACATTGTAAACATTAATGTTCCTCTCTCTACCTTTTTTCTATATAATGTAAATAATCATGCTTGTATTTAGATAAAATTGACATAAAAGAAATGTTTTTAATATATGTTTTATTTTTAGCAAACCAATGTATTTCACGAAAATGAATTATCCCATGAAATGCAAGTAGAAGAAGATCAAGTCACTGAATATTCTCAGGAGGAAGAAAGTTTTGAAATAAGCCATGAATCTGGAAATGATGAAAATGAAAAGCCCGTGATACAAAAGAATAATAAAAGAGTAGACTGGGTTTCTAGAAAAGATAATGTTATCCCTTTAACCGAAAATTATGCTATAGAGAATGGTAAAGTAAGAAAAATCACTGAGAAGGAAGCAGCTGAAATAAGTGATAGAAATTCTATATTCCAAATTCATCAGTGCCCTAAATGTTTCTTACAATTTCCTAAACTAGATCATTACATCAAACACAAATGTTCTGCAGGCAAGAAGTCAAAACAGTTTAAGTGTGCTCATTGTACAGCAGTGTTCTTAACCTACCCATCCCTTAATACGCATTTGAAGTTACACCTACAGCCTCAACCAGAAGAATCCCAACATAAGGTGATCACCTTAAATCCCCACAGGTGTAATACATGTAACACATTGTTCCCATCATTAAAAAGCCTTAGACTTCACTTAAAGATGCATGAGCCTGTTAAGATAAAACCCGTAGAACCTCCAGTAGATAACGATTTGGCTGATGGAGAGAAAAAAGAAAGAAAGATATTTGTGTGTCATATCTGTAACAATCCTTATGATCTTGAGTATGAACAAGTTCATATGAAGTCACACTCTGAAGAAAAAAATTTTTTCTGTACTACATGTAATCGAGAATTTATGAGCCAAGAAAATTTAGAAATGCATATGAAAGCTCATAATAGTAATAAAAATTATATTTGTTCGTATTGTAAAAAAGCTTATACTACTTCTACAGCTTTAGAAGATCATGAAGTAAATCATTGCCTGCGCAGAAAGTATGAATGCCAGTATTGTGGTAGACGCTTCTCTAGACCACATGAGAAAGTAAAACATGAAAGGATTCATACTGGTGAGAAGCCACATATTTGTCAAGTATGTGGCAAAGGATTTAGAGTCAGCTATTGTCTAACCCTACACATGAGAACTCATTCAGGTTCAAGACCTTATGAATGTCCTAAATGCCAGAAACGATTTAAATCTCATAGTGTCTACAATCATCATTTGCTGATTCACTCAGAGGTAAGAGCCTATAAATGTCCTTACTGCCCCAAAGCATTTAAAACAAGTGTACAGTTAGCTGGTCACAAAAATAGCCATATAAAACCCTTTAGTTGTAATGAATGTAACAGGCCATTTGCATCTCTGTACGCTGTGAGAGCTCACATGGAAAGCCACAAAAGAGAAAATAATTTAAAGTTTGACTGCTGGCTGTGCGGTGCAACATACGCTAGAGCATTTGCTTTAAAAGATCACATGAAGAGTCAGCATGCTGATGAAAATGTTGATGCAGGTGCATTAGGTGAGCTTGAAACTGAAGAAACTGTTTTTGTAATTAAAGAAGATTTAGATGAGAAACAAGAAGTTTAATTTAATTTTTAATATAACTTATTAAAATATTATCGTGTAAAATTAGAAATATAATTTTAAATTACTAGTATATTAAAATTTCTTTTGAAATTAACCATAACTCAACTAAATGTCCCAAGAGACACAAGAGTTAACTGTGACCGGTCTTATTTATTTATTATCTTTTTTTTTTATTATAATATATATTTATCTCTTCGGTGCTCAGACATAACATCTTGGGTCTTCCCACTTGTCGATGCGGAGCTAACGAGATAGAGATCTCTGGATCTCTATCTCCTCTAGTCTCTCAACATATGAAGCTAGCTTCCCTTTTGTAGACAGGACTGCTGGTTTTGTTATTCCCTGGTGGACGCCTCAGGTAGAAAGACAGCGCAGGCTGACTCTGAGGTCTCAACAAAGCCAAGAGGACTGGTCGACCTGCCCACTGGGACTCGTTTAAGGAGGCTTAGAGGGAATAAGTCTCTGATTAAGAGGTCAAAAAAGAGCTGTTGGAGAGCCTACTGTGACAGCGTGGAACGCATGTCCGCTGCAGCTGAGCTCCGTGGGTCAGGTGCGTCCTCCCAGTGGAAATCTATCTCCCACTAACGAGACGAACTATGCACTCTCTTGGACGCTCACTTCTCAGATGAAAAGGATGATGATAATGCCCTAGCGACGATTAGGCTCCCGCGAATGGAGGACTTTCGGATAGCGAAGGAGGTAGTAGTAAGAAGGTGTGCTGGGCTGTTAGGAGTTTCCCCCTTAAAGTTACAAGGTGAGGACGACACTATTGCCCCCACACTAGTCAGGATATTGAGGGCCTATCTTGCGATAGGGTATATTCCTTTACCCTGGAGGAGGACTAGGTTCGTATTTATTACTAAACCGGGTAAAACTGATTTTCTTGCTAAATCGTTTCGATCCATCAGTATCATCCTTCCTTCTAAAGGCTCTAAAAAGACTGGCGGACCGGTTAATACGTGATATAGCACTTAGAGGCAGCCCTTTTCATGCCTGTCAATATGTCTAGCAGTCTAGGAAGTCTTGTGAAACGGCCATGTATCACCTTGTTTACAGGGTGGGGCGAGTGCTAGATCGGAAGCAATACAGCCTGGATATCTTTATGGATATTAGGGGTGCCTTTAGTTGTGCTACTTTTGATTCCATGTGTGATGCTGCGGAAAGCATGGGGTTGGCTGCAGCTTGATCAGATGAGCCTCGGGCTCGTTGAGGAATGGTGCCGGGAGCAGTCACTCTGGCTTCATCCTGAGAGGCCTGCTGTGGTTCCGTTCACTTGGAGAAGGGCCATCGGACCTACCAGAGAGCTTACTTTCTGTGGTAAAGCTTTATCGGTTTCCAAGTCAGTGTAATACCTACTAGTGTTCCTCGATTCTAAACTTTCATGGAAGGAATATCTCGACGCCAAGGTGAAGAACACCGCTTCTTCATCTGGGTGTGCAGAAGAGCTTTAGACAAATATGGTCCGAAAATTCTACATGGGATGTACCAATCCATGATAAAGCCAATACTGACGCATGCGGCCATTGTGTGGTGGCCACGGGCTAGACTGGTTTCAGCTAAGACCCAATTGACTCACATTCAGAGGTTGGCATCTCAGGAGCCATGAGGATTACTACCACTGCGGCTCTGCTGAATTTACCTCCTACATCTTATTGTAGACCACAAAGTCATGATGGCAGCCTATCGTCGCAACTACTCTGGTTACTGATTGAGAATTACTGGACCATTGTGACATTTGGAGACGCTCTCGATTATTGTCCTGTGTCGTCTATAGTATGGCCCCCCAATTTGTATTCTCATCCGTCGAAGGGGCTCACCTAGTTCACTGATGGGTCCAGAATGGACGAGCGGGCAGGTGCTGAAGTATATGGTAGCGAAATCAGATTTAAATCTGGCATGAAGGACAGCCATGCACGTCTTTCAGGTCAAGATCTTTGCGATCCTGGTATGTGCTCAGGAGAAAATAGATAAAATTTGCAAGACAGGGCTCATATACTATGCCTGTGGGACCCGAACAATTGGAGTGCTCTTCAGTACTGGTCGAGGTAGTCTCAAAGAGCTTCTACGGAGGTTCCAGTGTGGAGCTACGAGACAGGCAAGGGTCATCACTTTTGGATGGTTCAGACAGCCATCCAAAAGTATTACAGCTCCTTCTAGGCTGTATAAGATGCTCTCTGGTGGTCAGTATGCTTACCGGCTATTGTAGATTCAGGCGGCACCTTCATCTGCTTTGATTGGTGGATGACTCACGGTGCTGTCTGTGTAATGAGGAGGAGGAAACCTCTTAACATGTCCTCTGGAAGTGCCCTGCACTGGCCTATCAGAGATCGTGGGTACGGCCTTTATGCAACCGAGCCAAATGAGGAAATTATCCTTAAAGAGACTTGTGGCTTTATGTGAGGCCACACGGTTACTACAGGATTAAACGCTCGAGATGCCAGGAAGAGCTCAGATTTAGAGCTCCTGCTAATTGTAGCAGATATGGGAGCACGGCGCAGCCTCAGTCCAGAAATGCCAAAGGCTAGGTCTCTGGGTCTAGCCCGTGTGAGAGGGGTGATACAATAGATCCGTTCTAGGAGGTATGTGTTCGAAGTACTCACAAATGGGCTCTGCCCCGAGTAACGTAACCATTTATCTATTATCAAATTGATTTGAAGTTATGTATGTTATTTACCACAGAATTGACTGGAACTGTCTTTTTTTAAAGATATATATATATATATATATATATATATATATATATATATATTATATATATATAGTATTGCTTAAAAAAGTTGTTTTGATAAGCATTTGACAAAAAAGTGCATCTCATCCATATTCCTTAAAACCATTATCCCCCTAGTTTTTGTTTATGTGATGCATTGACATGTGTAATAAAATACTGATGAATGTAAATACAACCTTTTAAAACTCATTTTAATTACTTTTAATGGTGAAATTAACTGAGCTTATGGTAACCAGAACAGATACGCACTTCAACAAATAGAAAATATTCCGAGATACTCAATTAAGAGTGGGAATGGTTCAGTTAAGAATATACATATAGGAACCTCTTTTGTGATAACTTTTATTTTACTGTTACTGTGCTCATGCTTTAAAACCTTGTGAAATGTATTTCCAAAATATGTAGAACTTACAAAACAGAAAATATTGTCAGAGAAGTTCATAGATTGGACGGTGAAGCATTCATCCCTGACGCGACGCGTCCATGGGCTAATAAGGAACATCCTATGGATATATACGACAGGTCTGACTAAAGTATAATCAAGTAAACACTCGAGAATCCGCTTTAGCTCAGCATCAAGAACGACATTTTCATTTCGAAAAATTATATGAGCCGTCACCATGTTTCACACGGCACGTAAATCTGTCGGCTAGTGTGCATGGACACTAGTTACCTAAAACAACTTTAAAGATATAATTTACTATTTTTGTTGGGAATATGCCAAAATTTTACATTAAAATTAAGTTTATTAGACGTTTTGATTTCTACTTCAGAACTTATTCTCAAAAGACAAAACTGAAAGATGAAGGGAAATAAACTGTTATTTTTAATGCGAAAGTGCGATTATTAACAAAATGAGCACTGACTCCAAAAAACTACATAGTTACAAAAAAAAGCCGACTAAACGCTAAAATTAAATCCAATCATTAGGTACATTGTCATGACCACACTGTTCTCGTCTTCTTTTTATTTACGTTAACTGTCACTAGTTTAAGGTGTGTTCACATACATATTCTGCTTGATATATACTACTTTGGATGACAAAACCAAACCGGGTGTGATACAACAAGCAAGAAGAATTTACAGGTTCAAAAAAGTTGCGTTTTGAACGAAGTACTGACGAAGAACGGTGCACTTCCGAAACCGGTGTAGTAGTCTGGCAGAGTGGATCTGCACTTGGTACTGAGTTCAGACCCTCGAATGTGGAAGGAATATGTCTGCGACGTCCAATGGGATGCTCCGCTCCTGGAAGAGGTGTATCAGGATCAGTGGCAATGCATCTGGTTAAAGCAGACATGGTAAATACCGAAGGGCACAGATGAAGTATCTGGAGTCACTATTTCATATGAAGTAGGACTCTGAAAATCATATAAGGTCCATATCTGCTAGCTATACCCGCTTTAGATTTTGCTTAATACATGGGTTTTCACAAATACTAAATCTGATATTTGAAATGTCTTATCTTGACGTTTAATTACTATCAGCATATTTCTTCCTACTATCTTGTTGGATCTCATGGGTTTCTCTGGCTTGACAAGTAAATGTAAGTAAGGCGTAATCTGAGGTACAAAGTTATCACTTTTAATTACAGCTCGAAAATTTCATTGAACATTATCTGCGGTACCCAGTTCTCGTCCGAAGGTAGGGTAAGAGGAGTGAAACCAGTAGACTGACAAACAGCAAAACGAAATGAGGGTAGCTTTTCTTTCCAGCTAGTATGGTCAGTTGAGGTCAATATAGACAAATGAGTTTTCTGGTCACGGTTCTTGCATTCAACAGAATTTGCAACAAGGTGATAAACGGGAATCAGACTCTGACTAAACCCTAAAGTTTGAGCTACATATTGCATGACATCACTGACGAACTGTATTCTATTATCGCTGATAACTTTCCTGGGAGTTCCAAATCGTAACACAATCTCATCAATGAGGCATCTTGCAATTCAGCAGTCACATCCCTAACACGTTGCCTGCCGTGGAGGATTTTGTAATACTTTCTGCTTACGCTATAGTGACCGAGCTGGCACGATAGTTACATTAAAATTCTCGGTCAATAGACCTCGCTGGCGTGCAGGGCAATTTTTGCATTTTTTTGCAAAACAAAAAGGTCAATAACAATAGTTTGTGACTTTGAACTGGAGTTTGAAGTAATCCAGCGGGTCATTAGTTTTTGCTTTATTAGTTATTACAACTTTGCGCATACCTATCCAAAAGTATCGTGGTATAATTTTCTGTAAGGTACTCTATACACCATAATAGCCGGCGAGAGGTGAATTGTGCGAATCTTGATGGAACATTTTGGCACAACTTTCTGAGCTTCCTCTCCATTATGGTCAGGGGAAT